TAGGTCAAACTTTGCCACAATGGCTAATAAAATTCTAATGGATATGTGCTTTACAACATGTAAGAACACACCATTGAAGTCGACTTCTTATTTCTGAATGAACCCCCTAGCAACAAACATTTCCTAAATCTCTTCGACATCACTCCTTTGATTCCTTCCTTAACCTTGAAAATCCACTTACAGTTGACTAGCTTGGCTCCAACAGGTTTCTCGATCAGCTCCAAAGTGTGGTAATCATGAAAATATTTCATATTATCATCCATGGATTTCATCCATTCAGTATTGTTTCAACTCCTCATAGCTTCCTTGTAATATCTAGGTTCTTCATCAAGAACATCACTTGCAGAGATTAAAGAAAAAATTATGACATATGTATAACCAAGTCTCTGAGGTGACTTGATGACTCTTCTCGACATCTCTCTTTCTAGTAGGTAGTCTTTATCAGTTCCCCATCTTCATAAGTAACTTGTGCTTCTTCTTCGAGTTCATATGGGTTATGTAATTCAACATCACTATGTACCACCTCAACAGGAATATTTTCCTACTCTAGCTCCTCTAAAGATATCTTTGTACTTTGACAAATGTCATCAATTTTTTGAAAGCCATCTCAAATTTATTGAAAAACACATCTCAACTTGTGATACACTTCCTATGACCTAACTCTAGGCACCACAACCTATAAGCTCTAACTCCTTCAAGTTATCCAAGAAACATACTTCTCAGAGCTCTAGGTTTGACTTTGGCTTGCCTAATGCGAGCATAAGATTCACCATGCTCGTACTTGGATTGGTTAGATTCGAAAGCGAGGGGTGACCAGCTACGTGTGAAAACATGCATTTCTTTGACAGAGCATCCATGCTAAATTCAAATGTGTAAAGCGTCTCTGATTGCACGCATTGAGGAATTGGTTATTATAGTCGGATGTGAAAAACATCCATGATAGCTCCTTTGGATTCTGAAGACGCACGAGGCGCTATGGAGAATTGATTGTTGTAGTCAGGCGTACTAAGCATATCCAACATCAACCTTGACTTTTGAAGACGCACGAGGCGTTGTGAGGAATTGATTTATATGGTCAGATGTGCAAGGAGTCTCTGACAACTCCCCTAGATTCTAAAGACACACAAGGTGCTGTGGGGAATTGATTGATGTAGTCGTGTGTACTAAGCATATCCGACAACACCCTTGGATCTTCATGTGGAAAAATATTTAGGTTTGATATTTTATTTTAGTAGTAGGACGAGTAAAACGTCTCCGAAAACATCCCAGGATCTTTAAGACGAGCGTCAACTACATTGGTTGTTTCCCAGTGCGCTGCTATGTACATTTGCATTTTTGGTCCCCTAAAGAGGGGACAATGCATAAAGCAGAACAACAAGAGGCCGACCGCAAGTGTATACTGAATGCTTGACCTCAGATGTGTTAGCCGGGTGGCTTAATGGTCGGCTGACCTCGGGGGCCGAGCCCTTGGCTGGTGAGATGTTTGATCTCTGTGGGTACGTCTGGCTCTAGTAGCTAGCTGATTTGGACCGACATTTGGATGTTTGACAAATTTGGATGACGAAGCCCTTGATTTAGGATGATGTCCAACCTCTATTGTGAGTGTCTGACTCTGGTAGCTGGGTTAAGGTGGACCAATTTGCTCGGGTCAGGAGCTCCTTTGAGATATTTGGGATGTTTCTATTACCCGAGGTTAAAGGGGTCTTGATTGACATTTGTAGTGATCAAAGATCTTATAATGTCCCTACATGCCCATACCCTTCTCCCTGGATCAGACCCCTGCGACCTTTCCAACCTCCCTTTTGGGATCAAAACCAAGGTGTCAGAGACTTGTCCAGCCAATAGAGAGCCATGTGGCCTTACTTACTCAATTGGCTGGATACCCAACCGGCCGTATGATCCCTTGAGTTATCCCATGTTAAGGACTACTCCTCATCTTGTACCTCTCTTATCGCTCTGCAGTCCCAGATCTTTGGTGGTTGTTAAGGGCTAGGCTCTGATCATTATAATGATGAGACTTCCAGTGTGAGGTCTTTATGATAATGAGACACCCGACTTTGGCCGATCGTGGTAGTGTTGGTGCCGCCCCATCTCCCGAAGGTGATTTCTTCTGCTCTTTCCCAAGTCTGTGATGAACTTTGGCCTGGATTTGACGAGGACCATTGTGAGGTTCATATGACAAGTGTAGATCTTGCCCGAATTTGTGAATCTGAACCTGGATATGAGGGTACCCGTCGACCAACTTTCCCATGTACTTAAGGCCGATACTTTCGGTTGATCGGAACATAGCCGATCAGGATCTTAACCCCGAGGTGTCTACTAGAATTATTTTGTGACAGCTAGAATCCAATGTAACCGTGTGGTCGACGTCAGATCGAAGTTCAATAAATCCAAACAGCGCATATCTTAGATTTTGGATTCTCAAGACTTCAATTTCTTTTCCTGAGACGTTTTCGGAGTTCAGATCTCAAGAACGAGTGTAGAACTCGCATGAATCGGAAGTCGATTCTCACAGACGATGCCATTATTCTGTTGCAAAACTAGAAATGGTACAAATTGTAGAAACTATGGGGGACCGAAGCTCCTGATGCACTACGTTGATTTGACATTGTGAATCAAAGGTTTCAATCACAATGCTTTTTGAACTAGAGGTATCGGTCTTGATGTGATGTCTTTAACCATTGTTTTCTATCTTCGAAACAATGGACCTAGAGGATGCCTGCATGGCTATCACTTTAATGCCCAAGTCAGTTAGGGTGATAGTGGTAGTGAAAGTGGAGATTTGAGATTGTGTACCTGAAAACCCTTCACGAAGGTATTTATACCTTGGGCCTGGCGATATAGGTTTGGATAATGGGTCTCGTGCTATTGGGTCTTTGGCCAGCATGAAATAGTGAGTTTCGGGTCTTTGTCCGACCTAGAACATTGAGTCTCAAGCCTTTGGCCGACGCAAAACACTTTCATAATAACTTTGACTGTTGTAAATATATAATTGTTCATGGGTAGGCATATTGAAATCATTGAAACATTGTTTCTCCCCATTAATTAGTATAAATATTTCTATAATTAAAGACACTTGTTAGGGATAAAAGAACATAAAAATTACAAGTTTCAAGTGCCTAAAATTATATCTAAGTCATTCTTTTATTTTTCTAGTGCGCGAGATTAAATGAAGAAAATTTATTATGTAAAACATCATTGTTTGATATGCTTAATGTGAATGTGCAATTTATGTTAAAGTCTACAAAGTATCTTAAAGGGGATTCGCCAGATTACGCATTTGCACCAAATTTGTTTAAATTGGTGGGGGCGAATCAAACCTAAAGCTTAATGCAAACACACAATTTGGAATTTCTTTTGTACAACTTTCATCATACCATTTTCATCTTCTTTTTGTTCATGTTTTTCCGCAGAACCGCAACACAAGATTTAACAATTTTTAGGTTCGATTTTGATTCATACTTTATTTATAATTAATGTTAAACGATTCAACTTTAAAGAAGACGATAACAATTCTCAATTTTTATAACTTGCAAGTCATTTATTTTAATTATTAAATATAATGATATATTATTAATATGTCTAGTGCATTAAAAAGATGGAGAAACATAAGTAAAATAATGCATTTATTCGTGGATGAAATGATTTGGTGAAAAACAAAATCACGAGTCTGAATGTATGGTGCATGAATTGGTAATATAAAATGGTGTAAATAAAATGTTAAAAATATGTGTATTTTTGTTTCAATTGTATTTTTGTTTGTGTAATAATTTATTAAATTTAAAATAATTTATCTCATATTATATATGTATTCTAATATTAAAAATATTATTTCTTTCTTATCTTGATATTAAAAGTAATTTTGACATATTTTAAATTATTGTAAGTTAATAAATATTTATGAAAAAATGTTGTATGAAATATTAATGATGTTGGATTCATTTTTTATTTTATAATGTGATTCTTATTTAGATATACCATAACAAATTGTTAAATATGAAACTTACCCATATAATTTATTATGCATATGTTACTTATGCAATGAAAACATTTATTTTAAGATAATATAAATAAATTATAATGAGTGTTATATTTAAGTTAGTACAGTGTGACTTTCATGTTTAAATCTTTTCATAAAATAAAAGTTATGATCATGGTTGTTGTTGATTGCTATAAATGTTTAATATATTGAATATATTTTAGATATATTTAAGTGAAAGTGTGACCTCAAAATAAAATGATTATTAAATTGTTAATATTTGAATAATGATAAAATTTGTGTATATGACAAAATGTAATTAAATGAAAAATATCATAATGATAGTTCGTCCAAACTATCCCGAATATAAAATATATTTTGCATATAATAATTGTACTAATATAACAAAAATGTCATTGTTAGATGATAGTTGGTAAATATTATTATAAATACACAAAGTAGTTATATGTATAATTAATTCAAAGATTGAATATTCAAAATTTATTATGATTTAAAAAATTTTGTAATTCTTTGACGAAATGATCGACAAAGATATAATGTCTTTGGATATAATTGAAAACAAAGAAGACATCATTAAAAATATGAAACAAACTTATATCTAATTAATCATCAATAATAAAAATTCAACTAAAACTTAATAAACATTAAATCTTGAGTTTAATGATAAAAGTAGGCTATTAATAATTGAAGTACTTAATAATATATACATATCTGTTGACTCATGAGTGTGATGCCTTGACATTTAGCTTCTTGGAAATCATAACCGATAGTATTTAAAAAAAATTGAAATAATATGTTATTGATTAGATCTGTTTATTAAAAAACTAACTCAAAATTTATTTAATTATTATAAATTCAACTCGTGCACTGCGTGCAATGATATAAAGATATTTCTAATCTAATTATCAACAAAAACAAATGTTTTGTCAAATCTTATATTTTCTTCATGAGTTTCATTTTTATGTACATCCAAAAAAAAAGTAGCTAGCAATTCAAAGCAATGGAGTACACAAACCTTGATGCCACAAATGAGAAACTCATACAAAATGGTATCTCTTCATCATCTTCTTCATCTCAACACAGAAAAGGAGGTTTTAGAACCATGCCCTTTATCATAGGTACTGTCTCATTATATCCTTAACTTTTTGTTAATGTTTTTATATATTTGATGACCCTTTTGATGTTTTGTTTGTTTGTGATGTGACAGTGAATGAGTGCTTTGAGAAAGTAGCAAGTTATGGAATCATGCCTAACATGATATTGTACTTGAGAGATGATTATAACATGCCTATTCCTAAAGCTACTACTGTTCTTTATACTTGGTCTGCTATGTCTAATATTTTGTCAATTTTTGGTGCTTTTCTCTCTGATTCTTACCTGGGTCGCTTCAATGTCATCTTTATTGGTTCCCTCTCAAGCCTTCTTGTAAGTTTATCATCTGCTTTTCAAAAATTATTCTTGTGAAGATACTATGATGGTCAGGGCCAAGAACGTGCAAAACGGGCTACCGCATAGATTTCAAAATTTGTTTGGTTAAAGTGCTCATAAAATGTTTGTCACAGTTAAACTATAGTTAATTAGGGTCTCTGTTTATTTTGTCATGGTTAAACTACGACTAATCTATACATGGTCTCTGAAAAATTGAGACGGCTTTGATGAGGATGCTTTAATGTTTCTTATCTTCCACAGGGTTTGACCATTTTGTGGTTAACTGCGATGATCCCGGCGCTGAAACCTTCCGATGTATCGTCATCGCTCGTCCAAGTCTTTGATTCTGCTACGTCATCTCAGCTAGCGGTTTTGTTCGTTTCCTTAGGATTGATTTCGATTGGAGCTGGTTGTGTTCGACCTTGTTCTATAGCCTTTGGAGCAGATCAGTTAGCGGTTAAGGAAAATTCGGATGATGGTAGGATCTTGGATAGTTACTTTAATTGGTATTATACATCGATTGCAGTTTCAACCATTATCGCGTTAAGTGTGATTGCTTACATTCAAGAAAACTTAGGATGGAAAGTCGGGTTTGGAGTACCTGCGGTGCTAATGTCGATATCGGCTTTCAGTTTCGTTGCTGGTTCGCCGTATTACATCAAAGTGAGGCCAAATGAGAGCTTACTCACTAATTTTACAAGAGTAGTTGTTGTGGCCATAAAGAACAGAAAGCTTAGTCTTTCTGATCACGGCTTTGATCGGTACTGTCAAGGCTGTGATTCGGGTCTGTTGGTTCCTACCGATAGCCTGAGGTATTGATTATGCTCGTTCTCATCGATAACTATAAGTTATGTAAATTGCAAGAAGAGTGAATTAACATGTTCTTTGTATGTAGGTTTTTGAACAAAGCTTGTGTAATAAGAAATCCTGAGAGGGACTTAAACCCTGATGGATCAATTTCGAATCCGTGGAATCTATGCACAATAGGACAGGTGGAGTCACTGAAATCATTGCTTAGAGTCATTCCTATGTGGTCGACGGGAATCTTTATGATGGCGACTCAGAGTTCATTTTCCACTCTTCAAGCCAAAACAATGAACCGAAGGTTATTTGGCAATTTCAATTTTCCTGCAGGATCGTTAAATCTTATCATGATATTCACCTTATCGATAGTCATTCCTTCATACGACCGAATAGCTGTACCTCTACTAGCCAAATACACAGGCCGGCCTAGAGGATTCAGTTGTAAAGTCCGCATTGGGATGGGAATTTTGTTTGTATGTGCAGCTAAAGCAATAGCAGCTATTGTCGAAACCGTGAGACGGAATGCAGCCATTGAACAAGGGTTTGAAGACCAACCAAACGCGGTAATCAACATGTCAGCTTTATGGCTTGTTCCGGAATTCGTTTTGCTTGGGTTGGCTGAGTCTTTCACGCCAGTTGGACTTGTTGAGTTTTTCTACACTTATTTTCCCAAGAGTATGTCAAGTTTCGCAATGGCTATTTTTACACTGGAACTAGCTGCCGCTGATGTAGTTTCGAGTGCGCTTGTGAGCATCGTGGACAAGGTCACTAGCATCGGAGGAAACGAGAGCTGGTTATCGACTAACATCAACAAGGGCCATCTGAATTACTATTACGCGCTAATCGCTTTCTTAGGTGTGATTAACTACCTCTATTACCTTGTTATTTGTTGGGCTTATGGACCCGAACACGGAGAAAAACTTGAAGCTTCAGAAGGCGAGGAGGATGATAAATTTGATTTCAGGTAGTTACATACATCATAGGTTATTTGAGAGATAAACAAATGGATAAACAAGAGTTTCAAGTTGTTCTCTTCCAACCAGCTTTTTCTTGTCCAAGACTGCAAGAACCTTCCTCACTTCATTAGCTAGTTCTATCACCATCTCATCTTCATGACCTGCACATGAAATCTCTCAACTCATTGGTATACATGTATACAAGAAGAAACTAGTTCCTTCATATTAAATAGCAGAAGCTAGACTAAGCACCGCGGCTTATTATATAAGTACTTATATAGCTATTTGCCTTGCTGCTTCTAGAGAGCTTACGAAAACAAGCTGAAAACCGCTTATAGACATGTCATAAGTTGTTTCTATAAACTCTTTAAGATAGTTATATAAGTGTTTATGTTAGATAAGCTCAAATAGGTTAATCCAAACACATAGTGTCAAGTACATAGCCTTTTCTAGAAGGAAAACGTAGTCTCTATTGTTTCCACAAGGGCCATAAACAGTAGCTATTTGCCTGAATATGAACAAATCTAAATTAGAGGAAAGAAAACAAAAGTAAGAACATCACTTTTACTTTCACATGAAAATGAGGAAACTTGATTATTCTTAAGATCTCATTTTTTGTTCCCACTAAATACAGATTGTTAGTTCGATGCACAAAAAGCTTTGGTACCTTTAATCGGACTATTGATGATGGATAGTAAAATTGGTCCTCTAATTAGTCATCGATTAGTAGATCCTAAAGTCGGATACACAATTTAAAAAAAAAAAGAAAATGTAAATAATGAACTCCATAATCAATCTTTTCTTTTTAAGGCCTCCATGAACACATATTGCACTACCCCATTGAAAAAAATACAATAAAATTTAATGGCAAAATAGATACTTATGCGATAATTAATGAGTCAATATTAGAAAGTTCTGGCACTTGTTAATGATCAAGGCCTTATAACTGATTTGTCCGTCCGGGTATCAGCGGCACCTGTTGTTGCTTCTACTCCTGCTCTGTAAGCTTGGATGTCTGACGTATTCGAGACTATTATCTTGGTTACTGCTCCTGTTAAAGAAGGTTCTTTCAAACAGGCTCGCTTGTTAAAGTGTGGCGAGCAGGAGCTTTTTACTCATTTCTTCCGACTTTCTGCTATTCTTTCATCCCGGGTACCTAGCACCCCATGGGAGTTTGGTAATGACGTGGGTTATGAGGATCTGAATTTTGTCCAGGGTTTATTTGCAACTAACTGACAGAGTTTTTTTTGCAGATGCTTCTTATATTTTGTTCAGGGTCAGATCCCTTGTTTCTATTGTAGCTATTGGCCAAGATGATTATGGGTGTCCGCAGCCCGATTTGGTTTGGTTTTGAAAAAATTTGATGTCCAAACCGATCAAAAATATATAGATTGGTTTGGATTGAATTTGCACATTTTTCTATAAAGCCGGAACTGAACAAAACCGATAAACAACAAGTTGATTTGGGTTGAATTGATCGGATACATTAGAAATAAATGTTCAAAAATAATTTTAAAAAATATTTAATTTACATCCACTAGATTTCTGTAATACTATATGTGAGTGCACCTTCCTATTAGAATTGTTTTGTATGATGTCAAAACTAGAATACTTCAACAGTTATGTATATTGTACGAAATTCTTTTTGTCTTAATGTGCATCTTAGCACTAAGAAGCATACAAATATTTTGGAAATGACTTAGAAAAGGTTAGAAATGATTCTACATGGCAAAAATGTGTTTTTATTCAAAACACATGCTTATGTGTCGACACATACGTTGTATGAGTTGACGCATGTTGTTAAGTTTTTAAGTTTGTAGCTTCTGTTTATGCATGTATCGACACATGCAACATACAGGTCGGCACATAGAAGAAAAATTTCTTTTATGATTCGACACATGCAAGGTATGATTCGACACATGTTGATGAGTTTTAAAGTCTGTAGCCTCTTTTTGATAAGGCGAATGTGAGAGGACTTCAGTGAAGGTGTGAGAAAACACAAGAAAGGAGAGTTTGAATTGGATTTTAAAAAATGAAAGCTTTTTGTGAAACTCAAGCAAAGATCACAAATAGATTAATCAAGACACACGATATATCTTGGTTTACTTGAAAACTATCAAGTTAATCTAGTCCACCCGCCAATGTGATTTCGCCTTAACACAAGGATTTAATCGACTATAATCAACAAATTACAATGCACTAGAAACCGCTGGTGACTAACAACTCAGACAACCGTCTCTTCTTAAGGATTTTGACCCAGCTGGTCCCTTAAAAAAATATAAACTGCACAAGCAACCGTTGGTGACTAACAACAAAAACTAACTGTCTCTTCTTAAAGATACATACCTAACCGGTCCCTTAAGGAGTTACAAACAAAAGTTTGAACAAAGATGTTTACAATGAAATTGCTTCTAAACAAGCAGATATAAACACTATTAGTAGCTCAAATGTCTTAAAGACACTAATACAGTATGAATAAGATTATTTCTTTTTATTGTGGTGCTTCAATACTGTAGCTTCAGTTCTTCATAGGTTGCTTTCAATCAAAGGGTGAACTTTGTATTAATCGTTGTAAAGCTTCATGATTTCTTCAAGTAATCAAATCCTTATATAATCAGAAAAGATCCGTTAGAGGGTAGACCAGGAATATCCTTTAGGTAGTTGACGACTTGAAATAATGTCATTACGCAGGGATGAAATCGTACACAAAAGTTGTCCTTTGTACCACCAAATCAGGGTAGTGGCATGGTAGTGGAATGAGACGTTAAGAAAGTACTATGTACTATTTCCCCTCGTAGACGTTTGAGCTTCTCATTTTTACATCAGATGCTTCTAAATAGAGATGTTTGAAGCATTAGTAGAAGAGCTAACCAGTAGGTCTTCAGAGTCTTTAAAACTTGTTCACCAGAACCTTGTCTTCAGAACTATAAACACTCAGTCTTCAGAACCTATGGTCATTAGTAACTTAAGTCTTCAGAGTCTTTAGAACGTCGTTCAGCAGAACTTTGTCTTCAAAGTCTTTAACACTTATTCTTCAGAAACTGAAGTCTTCAAAACTTCGTTCAACAGAACCTTCTCTTCAGAAGATCATGACTTCAGAAGCTTGAAAGCCTTCAGAAGTAAAGTATCAAAGTCATGATCAGAAACAGAAACTAAGAGATCATTGCAGTAGCAACATATTGTCTTATTAGAATCTTTCTAAAGTAGAGTAGATCAGGAGCAAACTTGCTTCTTATGACGCATATGTGACTTTAGTCAGATCAGAGTAATCGTTGAATATGATCTCTATTAGAGTCAGAATCTGTTTGTTAATTCTTCAGAAAAACAAACGTTTAGAGTAGCAAAATTGTTCTCACACAAATACCACTTTGTTATTATCAAAACTTAGAGATATCTTATAGAACCAAATCTTGTTCTAACATTCAGGTCAACACATAGAAGAATTTCTATGAGTCGACACAAGACCTATACAAGTTGACACATGCATCGAATGTGTTGACACATGACTTACATAGGTCGGCACTAGCAGTAAAAATCTTGGAAATTTTGCATTTTATCTAAACCTCTTGCATTCCTTTTTGCCTCTAACTTGCACACACACATATATACTTCATACATGTATCATTTCATAATATATGAAACCAAATATACACAAAGAGTTATTTTAATCCTTAACCCACATTCTATGCATACACACACAAAAATTTTACACATGATCATTCTTTGTTTGGGTGCCATCTAGAATAACGTTGATTCGTCCAATTTAGGTTGTTGAACTGTAAACTGGGTTGAGAATCTTTGGGGGTTTCAAATAAGAAAACCAAACTAGGGTTTTCCTTCAAGATCGATTAGGTATTTCAAGGTTTTGAATAAGATCACATAATTTGGATTCGATCGAGTGGAAATTTTGAAGAACGAGATTTCTTGCAAAGGAGTAGCGTGAGACGGTGAATCAAATTAGTAATCTTGGGTGATAACGATTTGCAATTTGGATTCAATAGAATGAAAGCTTTGAAGAACGAGGTTTCTTGCAAAGGAGTAGCGTGAGATGGTGAATCAAATTGGTATTGATTATCTTAATTCGAGTTCAAATTGAGGGCAAATGTACCCATAGTGAGACCGATTGGAGAACTGCCTAAACAAATCCTTGTGTACTCTCTCTCTCTCTCTCTCTCTCTCTCTCTCTCTCTCTCTCTCTCTCTCTCTCTCTCTCTCTCTCTCTCTCTCTTACTTTTCATTTACAAATTGTTGAATTCGTTGGTTGTGCGATCAATATGTTTGGCTAAAATTTTGTTGATAATATTTAGAAAGTAGTTTTGTTATGTTGATCACAATCTATTAGATTGTAGTTGCTTTTTCAAATCAACAAAACCATAGAAAATTTTATACGAAATTGATTACACAGAAGGTGTTCAATAATTTTCCTCAATTGCGTTTTTGTGTATTTTGTCGTTGAAAATAGACTTCAATTTTTTGTGTAGCACTCAAGTGATTGTTGTTAAAATCGTATTGATTGATTTGTTTAACATTATCATCAGTTGGTTTTCATATACACATATCCGAGCTTTTCAATAGCGGTTCGGTTTAGACGATTTGATCCGAGTTACTTCCATTAGCTGTTAAATTTTTCAAAAATTTTTTAAACTAGGGATCTATTCACCCCCTCTAGATAAGTCGCATTCGTCTAACAAGTGGTATCACGAGATCTGATTAATTCATTGCTTCAATACTCGCTTATTAGAAAATGGCCAACGAACCTAAAAAGGTGTACAATAGAGCGCCTATCTTTACCTGTTAAAACCATGTCTATTGAAAAACTTCATGTATATCCATATCAACTCGGTTGATAAGGGTGCTTAGGATGCCATCATCAATGGTTCTAATCAAATTACAATGACCAATAATAAAGGTGTCGTCGTACCAAAACCAAAAGCACAATGGAATGAATGATAAGAAATTTTGGTCACATGATTGGAAGACACAAAATATTCGCATATCAACACTTGGTGTTG